GCGCCCTCCCCCTTGCTCTACCTCCAATATATGCCCCGTTCCACAGCTGCTCGGGTTTCCTGCTACTCTACTCACTGTGTTGGATGGACAGAGGACCCGAGTTAACTCCCAAGTTAATTAAAAAGACTCCTTGCTTTTGCATCAGATCAGGTCTCTTGGTGGTTTGGGGGATCCAGAGTCTGGGCACAACAAGGTGTCCTTTTCTATTGCTCTCCACTTTTTTATTGATGAAGAATCTCTGAAGCCATAGCTCACTGATTACAGCTACTCTAGCTAAGCAGCTTGCCCTATGGATCCCCCATTTCTACCTGCCAGGTGCTGGATTACAGGCAGGCCACTGTGCCTATCCAGCTTTTACCTTGATTCTGGGAATCTGAACTACAATCCTCATGCTTGCACAGCAAACATTTTACCCATTGAGCAATTTCCTCAGTTCCCTGTTGAGTGGTTTCAGTACCTACCAAGATAACCTTATTGTATAGTTTAAGATGCTAATAAATGTATATTTCCTTCAAAATATTAAAATACCCTTGCACTCCTGGGTTATGAATAACAGTATTAAAATGCCTTTGTATGCCTGGAATAGACCTTCTGCAGACCAAGAACACGCCTAGTATTCTGTTGGATTGTAAACATTGACAGAATTTCATTGTAAACATTGCAAATTTCATATTTCCATTTATGGAGCTAAAATAAAGCTGGGAGGTATGTGTGTTAACTTTTGGGTGTTCTAGAATTTGGATAGAAATCCAACACTTTTGCTGTGTACAGGAGCAAAATCTATGCCATAAAATTGTTTTATTTGACTTTCAAGAATTTGCATGTGACTTTGACATCAATCCACAGGCGTATTACAGCATAATGTTTTGTGAAGTCCTTGTTTAATAGAAACCCTCAGTCAGGGTTTCTATTGCTGCAAAGAGGCACCATGACCATGGCAACTCTTACAAAGGAGAACATTTAATTGGGGTAGCTCACTTAAAGTTCAGTCCATTATCATCATGGTGGGACATGGTGGAGTACAGGCAGACGTGGTGCTGTAGAAGTAACTGAGAATATTACATCTTTCCGGCAACAAGAAATGGTCTGAGACACTAGACATGACTTGAGCATATATGAGACCTCAAAGCCTACCTCCACAGTGACACACTTTCTCCAACAAGGCAATAACTACTCAACAAAGCCACACCTCCTAATAATGCCACTCCCTATGAGCTTATAGGGACCACTAACATTTAAAGTACCACACATACTTTGCACTTTTGTCAATTCAGTGCTAGTAATATGTATTTTCTCAGAAGATATACCATTTGTAGATTTTTGTTTGTTTGTTTTTGTTTTTTCAAGACAGGGTTTCTCTGTGGATTTGGAGGCTGTGCTGAAACTCCCTCTGGGCTGGCCTTGAACTCACAGAGATCCACCTGCCTCTGCCTCCCCAGTGCTGGGATTAAAGGCGTGTGCCACCAACGCCCAGTCCATTTGTAGATTTTTTCCTAATAAAAGCATTATGGGTTTGAATCTCATTGTTATTATTTTGTTTTATGTTTGTATTTTGTCTGCAGATATTTCTGTGTACTTTGTGCATGTCTGGTGCCCACAAAGGCAGAAAGAGGGCATTGTATCCCTGACAGCTCTAGTTACAGATGGGTTTACTCACTGAGCCATCTCCATAGCCTATTTTTGATGACTTTTATAGCAAATTAGTGAACATGTCAATCATTTTAGTTGTGAATAGTGACTTTATTTTATTTTTTGAAACAAGATCTCATGGCCTTATCTTTAACCCAGCATTTGGGAGGCAGAGGCAGGTAGATCTCTGTGAGCTGGAGGCTAGCCTGATATACACAGTGAGTTCTAGGACAATCAGGGCTACATAGTGAGACCCAATCTTGAAAAAAAGAAACAAGATCTCACTCTGTAGCCCAGGCTGGCTTAGAACTTGAGATCTTCTGGGCCAGCCTCCCAAATACCACCCCACTGAGTATAGTGTTTTCTTACATATGTAATATAGTTTTAGCTGGGTGACCACATAATTGTGGTCCAGCTACTGAGGAGGCTGAAGAAGGAGGATCCCTTTATTCCAGAAAATCAAAATAGTTTGGGCAACATAGCAAAAGCCCATGTCAAGGAAAAAAGAGAAATATTTATACATATATACATGTACATATGTATATAAACATACGGTTTTCCCTTTTCTCACACCATTCTGGTATCTCCTTTTTCTTTACAATATTTCAGAGAAATTTGTCCATTGTTCCTATGCAGAACCAGTTGTCAAATGCTATTTCATTTTCACTGTACTTTAAACATCCTTATTTCTATTTTTTATCTTTTTCCCCTCTAAGGAATTTCTCACTCAGCAACATTTTACCATCATCTCATGCAGGTTTCACTGCGATCAATTCTCTAGTAGCAGTAATACTTTACTAATATTTTTCGGGTGGAATGCATGCATGTTGCTTGGGAAGGGGTGGTCATCACTTTTCCTGGAGATATGTGAAGAACTTGTATTCTCTCCCGAGAGGGGACTAACAACAGACCATGGCAACCGTTCCACCAAACCTAGCCTAGTGAACCAGTGAGTTTATGGGGGTCACTTACAGGTCCATGGATGACTCGAAGGCGGTGTGTAAGAAAAGCCACCACGGCATGGGCACTGGCTCACAGAAGCTGCATCTCTAGAGTGCCCTGTGGATTGTGCAGGCAGGCCCATCTGCCTGCACAGTCTCCCCTTCCCTAAGACTATTTAGTTTTCATAACCCTGGGGAGGAGCTGCATGAGATTTGTGACTTTCTGAGCTTCTAGGATCTACTCATTTTCCTGGGCTTCCTAGATAGAAAGGAAGGCCTCCTTCCTTCTCTAGGAGGGAATGTTTCAATGCTGAGGAAATACACAAGAGTTACTAACTCCCTTCCTCAAACTCAACTTTTGATAAATTAAAGATGAAGGATGGGGACAAGAATCCGAGGATTATAAAGATTATAACTGCATTATAAAGATGTGTGAAGGGGGCTGGAGAGATGCTTCAGCATTTATGAATGCTTACTGCTCCTGTAGAGGACCAAGGTTCCATTCCCAGCACCCATAGTAGCTCACAATAGCCTATAACTCCAATTCCAGGAAATCCAGTACTTTCTCTGACCTCTGTAGACTCTTGAACACGTGTAATGCACATAAATACATATGTACATAAATTAAAAATAATAAATTAGTTTTTTAAAGAAAAACGTATGTGAACACAACCATACTGTCCTCATGAGATAAAAGAATCCATATGAGTGTGGCCCAGGGGCCTCAGAGCAAGGGCTGCCATTTCTAGGCAGCAAGGATGGGAGGACTTCTGGTTTCACTAAGATTCAGTCCCAGGACTCAGCCAGGATCAGTAACAGCCAAAATAAATCAAACTGAGAAGATTTATTTATTCCATAGTCTGGAATCAGTAGTATTCAATATTTACAACACTATAGAACTAACATGGATAAAGATAGCTCAAAGGAAGAAACCTGTTTTTTTATCTGAAGAGACAGCGTGTGTGTGTGTGTGTGTGTGTGTGTGTGTGTGTGTGTGTGTCTATCTCTCTGTGTGTCAGTGTGTATGAGTGCATGAGTGTGTCTCTGTGTGAGTGCATGTATGTGTGTATGTGAAAGTGTGAGTGTGTGTCTGTGTATGAGTGTGTGAGAGTGTAAGAGTGTGAGTGTGTGTGAGTGAGTGTGTGTGTGTGTGTGTCTCCAAGCTGATGGACTCCTGACATAATTTGCAGAGGAAGCTGCCCAAAACAGACAACCCTTCTTCAGACAATGCACTCCAAAGGGTGACTCAGCCAGGGCCACTGCCCTACAGTAAGCTCCACAGGAGCCTGAAAGACAACCTGCTGTGCATGCTTCCAAAGAAACAGACAGGAGGGGAGATCCCATCAGGGAACCAGCAAATAGCCTTGAGCCAGACACACCATGCATTTATTTTTAAATAATAAATAAACGGCAAAGGACATACAGGAAAGAAAACATTCATTAATTCAAGTCACTAAAGTGCTTCCAAACATAAATTCAAAAGGACCAAGAAATCAGGTCTGATCTTCAGTCTCTAGATATTTAACAATTGCCTAAACATGTCTTCAGGTGACTTCAGAGGAGGCAAGTATGGTCTTCTTTGCTGTTTAAGCACTGAATATTCAAGGCCTATCACTTAACACTCAGAATACAAAATTACTGCCTACCATGAAAATGAGAATGTCTAAGAGCCAGGTCAAGGAAAGGTGACATAGCATTCATTCATTCATTTATTCATCTGTTTAGAAACTTCTCCTAGGAATTATATTCACACCTGTAACCCCAGTACTGGAGAGGCTGAGGCAAGAGATCCAAAATTGAAGCCAACCTGGGCTGCACGGCAAGACCCTGTCTCATTAAACCAAACCAAATGTTCTAACTTGGAGTGAAGAGCCCTCTTAATGATTGAATCACATCTCAAATGATACAGGTGGTAATAATATCTATCTATCTGTCTGTCTGTCTATCTATCTATCTATCTATCTATCTATCTATCTGTCTCTCTCAGATCTTGTATAGCCCAGGTTGACCTAAAACTGGGATGGTCTTGAACACCTGATCCCTTATTTCTACCTACTGAGTACTGGGACTACAGGTGTACAATACCACATCTTACATGTGGTGCTGGGGACTGGCCCCAGGCTTTCCTGTGTACTGTCAACTGAGCTACATCATACCCCATCCCTAAAATTATGTGTGAACTTCAAATCTTCCCTGTTCAAATTCTACAAAGGAATAACAAAGTTTTAGACCAAATTGACTAATTCAAGAGCTTGTACGAATGTTCTCCATTCTAGAATTAAATGGAACTTTCCCTAGATCACCATTTATCCAGATGTTTCAGGAAGAAAACCAAATTGAAGGTGTTTGTCTTAGACCAGTTTTGTCTCCAAAAATTGTTCAAGAGAAATATGCATTTTTCCTATTTTTGGAGGGGGTGATCTGTTGGTCTCATGAGGATTCCACTTTTGGGGGCTGGAGCACCTGCAGCCCTGGGTCATGGGAACATCCCTGAGCATTGGACTCCGGGGGCATTTTCTTCGTCTCCTGCCTAGAAGAGCTGGACAAGTCAATGGCCACATCTTCCAAGCTATCCTCGGGGTCCAGGCTTGTTTTATCTGGGCCTTTTTCAGGTCCATCCTGGCCCTTATTAGCACCCTCCTTGATGTGGTCAAAACCCCAGAGTCCTCCTAGCTTGTCTTCACTTTCTGGTTTCCTCATTCCTGCAGACTTTTTATGCATCCCTGGAAAATAAAATCAACAACAACAACAAAAATTGCTTTGTTTTGTTTTGAGGCAGGGTCTGTCTGTGCAGTTCCAACTGTCCTGGATCTTGCTATGTAGAACAGGCTGACCTCAAACTCACAGAGATCCACCTGCCTCTATCCCACGTACTCAGATCAAAGGCATGTGCCACCACACCAGGCTCAAAAAAATATCTTTAAATTCAGCAAGTAAATATATTCCTTTCTTACCACTATTATTTCTATCACTAGAATTTTCTTTGTCAGTGCTGGTCTAGAGCCTAGAGGAGAGCCACCATCATTGGGGTGGAGAAGACCCTATCCACCAGCTGTCACTCTTGCAAAATTGCTTTGTTGGGTCACACAGTAACTTTGCATTTGCTTGAATAACAAAGTGACCCTAGTTTAGCACTAAACTCACTTGCTTGTATGACTGAAGTCCCATGCCAGCAAGTACCCCTATTTGTGACATGGGCATTGGTTCTCCATCCCCACTTCTCTCTAATCTCTTTGGTCCTTAGGCAAAGTCCAGGCTGTTCTCAGTTCTCAGCACAGCACCTAGCCAGAAAGCTGTTTGCTGGACTTTCCCAACCTAAAATCCCACTATGACCCACCTAACTAATTTTCTGGTAGTGATCATCTTGTGACTCAAGCCTCTGAAATCTCAACTCTGAACCCCAACAGATCATCAAGGGTAAGCACCAGAAAGGGCTTGGCCCTACCAGTGAGGCACTACCCTAGGGCAGGTTTGTTAAATCAGGCCCAAGACCTGGCCTATTACTTCAGTGGTGCCAACAGAAGGGACTGCTCTAGATTGTCTCTGCTCTGCGTGGTCCTATAAACCTTGCACTCTAAACCATATAGTTTCTAAACTCTCTAGTAGCATTCACCACTTTGAAAGTATGTATCAAACACAAGGCAAGTCTCTCTATTTATAAGTTTTGAATACATATTGACCAATATGAGTAGCCTATGAGGACTATCCCACACACTGCCTCCACAGTTCCAAGGAAAATTAAGGCTAATTAAAGACAAATTAGAGTCCAGACTGGGCCTAAATCTGAGACCTCTCCTGCTTTGCTCTTGCAAATCTCCTGTAAGGTCCCCGCCCAACTCTCTGGCTTTGTTCTTAGCCTGGCTTACCCAGAAGCCAGGGCGCACAGGAGCCCTGCAGGCTATCCGCCGCCGAGTTGAGCAGAGAATCTGGCAGCGGAATGCAGTGGCGCACCATGGCCCCGTAGAGTCCATACTCAGCCATCACGCTGCTGCCTCCCCAGCGCTTCTCTCGCTTACGCCACTTGGCTCTCCGGTTCTGGAACCAGACCTGGTTAGAGGCAGAGGGGAGTCCGAGAGGCTCAAGGAGAGACACTATGAAAAGGGGTGCCTGGAGGGGCACGCGTGCGCTCCAGGACTCTGGGTCTACAAACAAAAGGCCTGTCCCCCACCCACAGGCCTGAAAGCAGCCCCCCAAACCTGCATGGACACAGCATCATGAGGATGAGACAGGAGTCGCTTCCTGTGAAATTTTCTAAGAAGCCAGGAAGCAAAAATAAAGAATGAAAAGGACCCTTTCCTGCAGGGTGTTTATGAAGGGGCGGCCCCCTGTGTTTCCTGATTTTTCTGTTTAGGAGGTCTGCAGGGGCAATGGCCCCTTCAAATCTCAGACTGATGGACTGCTGCTATTTCTCCTGAAGAAAAGTGCATTAATTTAAACAATACACGATAACCTGAAGCTTAGGGCAGCAAGTCACTGGCAACTCTTCCAACAGAGCACATCCGCCAGCACAAGAGAACTTTCAGGATGGATACCCTATGACACACTGGCAGCACCGTGTGGCACCTACTCAGGCTGGACGCATATGGTGATGTCTTTAAGAACTAAAGACGAGAGCTAAACATTTTTGCTGATATGTCTTCATGCAGTTTTCCAGTCCAGCATACAAATTGTGTGATTTTTTTTTTGAAACACCATTTTTCATTAATTTTGTGTGCATGAGTTTAGATGTTGGAGTGACACAGCACACATAATGATGCCAGAGAAAATTTACAAGAATTAGTGCTCTCCTCCCAAGTGGGTACCAGGGATCCAACTCAGGTGTAAATCATTTTGGTGGCAGGTGCCTTACCCCACTAGGCCATCTTGATGGCTCACAAATTGTGTACTATCTGAGGGTAGGTTAAAGAAAAGAGAAAGGACACCACTCCACACCTGTATTCGGTCTTCGGGGAGCTCTGTTTTCACAGCGAGCATTTCCCGGGCATACACGTCAGGGTAGTGAGCCTCACCAAATGCCTTCTCCAGTTCTTCCAGTTGATGGGCAGTGAAAACTGTCCTGTAGAGAGCCAGAAATACACATGAAATGTGCCAGAGATAAAACCCATTTACAAACCCACAAAACCATGTCTTTAGAATTGTGGAGATTTCCCTGTAGCCTCCTGGGAATTACAGGTCATCTTGAAAATGGCTATGTAGTGCTCACTACCCACCAGTAGAATGCTGGGCCCTCTATACATTCTCAGACACTGTTCTCAAAGACAGTAGGGTTGTGTCCACCCGAGGAAAGACAGGCCCAGAAGCCTGGACCCATACCGGTGCCTCCGCTTCTTCCTCTTGCCCGGGGTAGGGGACATCTTCAGGTCACTCTTTTCTTCAGATGCACTGTCCCCATCTGTTGGTACAAGAAGATAACTCTCTGAAAATGTCAAAGGTTTTGCTGTATTTTGGGCTATATGTTTTGCTATATTTGAATGTGAGGGTTAACAGTGTGTATCTGTTATGAATGTACTTAGTGGTACATACAAGCAAAGAGAGCAATTCCCACATTCCAGATACAGTCTGCATTATTTCAATTATTCCTCATAAAGTAAAACATAAAGCAGCTGGTATCATTGTCCTGCCAGATCAAAAGGTCAAGTTGCAGTGATGAAGCTGGGATGCAAATTTCACATTCTTTAAAGCCAGTGCTCCTTGGCTACTTACTGTCTTTTCCTACCCGAGTCCCTCAGCAGATAGACCACCATGCTCCAGTCGCCTCCCACCTCCCCTCAGTGTCCACGTGGACATTTCTGAGAGGCAGGATTTGTGACTTCAGAATCTTTGTCAGAACTCACCCTGCCCTGATGCACCCATTCTAGAGGCACAGCCCAGGAAGCTTGTGCATGCATGACACACATGTCCTGGTGACATACAGCTTCCCCTGGAAACAATACCATTCAACTGTGCAGTTGTCTACCCATATTCAACATAGCAAAAGATCTCAGGGTAAGGAAAGTTAGATTCATCATTCAAAAACAGAACTGTCCCAGATTATTTTTTTAATGGGTAAAGACAAAAGCAATGAAAAGACACCAGTTTGTCTCTATTTCAATATCACCACAAAACGGCATACTTGAATTATAATATTCTGTGTTTTTCTATGGAGTGTCCGGAAGCCATTGACACTTGGGGTGAGAAAATGCATGAGCAGTGGCTACTAAGACTTGGGGCAGATTTAAAACACTCTGTCAGCTTGGAAAACTTAATATCCCCAAATTGTTTCATACTGATTACACAGAAATGATAATATTCGCATATATTGGATTGACAATCTAGTATTTAAACCGATGCCAACCGTTTCTTTTTTCTCTTGGGGCCACAGAATTTCTCACCAGTCACATGATGCTGTTTCTGCAGGAAATGCCCTCGCAAAATAAAGTTTGCTTGCATTTCACCTTTTCTTTTGTTAATATTCAGAGAAGAAGCCCATTCTATGAAGATGGTCCTTTGGATTTTAATGACACAACAAACAGAGGGTTTCCTTTCATCCTCCCGAGAGGCCAGGAGTATGCGATAAAGTCGGTTTTCTGTAGAGAGCCCCAGAGATCGGCCCCTCTTTGCTCATCACACTCCACTCTGCCAACCTAGCCGATGCTCTGCAGGACGGTTTCACTAGGTCGGCGGTTTTTTACATAATTCTCTCCCACCATCTCACATCTCCAACCTAGTTTCTTGCACTGAGGAATGAATATCTTAGGCTCCTTCTCTTTCCCCACAATCCAAAACTCCCCGCCCCGAGGAAAATAGGTGAACTCCAAACAAAACATGAGTAGGCAGATGGCTTCTCTCACTTGCCGGTATTGGGAAGAAGGTGATAGTAAGACAGACAGAGGCTGGAGACCCAGGACTCCCTTCTTAGCACCCGGGGAGAGAGGCCAAGAGTTCCCGCTGACACCCAGCCCTCTAAAACTATCCGTCAGTTCTGTTGATTCTACCTTAAGGATATACGAGACAGAGACAGACCCCAGGCCTCCTGACCACTTGCCTCTCAAAGCGCTGAGAAAAAGGCGCCTGCTGGTCTGGACACAGGGTCCATCGGAAGGAACCCATGGCGGTTTCCCCCACCGCCGGCGGGGAATAAGGCTTGGGAGGAGAGTCTGGGGGTTGGAGACCAGCTATGGCAGGAGGCACAGCGGACCCTCCTGCCGGACTGTGCTCCCCTTGCGTGTCCAACCTCCCGAGATCTAAAGTGTCTCAAAGGGCGACCAAGCATTACCCAGGTGCTTCTGGACCTTTCGAGCATTGGGGTCGGGAAGCTTTGCTAATTACCCGAC